AATTAAATTTAATGACTCGAAACTCATTGCAGTCCACGAAATGTATTTTCACGGCTCGGACTCTCACTAAACTGATAGGCCGTCGACTGAATGCAATGGTCTGTAGGGAACGGCAGATATCCTGCGATCGGTCCGCCAGTTTCACCCAATCGTTGTTCTCTTTAGCCTCAACCACATAGCTGTAGGCCCTCTCATCCCTGTCCCACAGCTGGAACTGAAACGAGTCAATCATCACCGGCTGATCCAATGCCACGATTATTGGTCTGTTTGATGAGATCGCGCGCGAGTAGTACTTGTCGTCCTGAGCAACGGCACCGACACCGGTAGCGCTCGTGTCGTGGTATACCCGCTGTTGGACACAATTCCTGATCCAATGGGGGTTGGCTAACAGGCCATCGATCCGTTCCACTCCTATCTGTTCCTTATTATAATAACAGCCAAAAGACTCGATCGCATCGAAAACCGTTTTAGTCGACACATCCATCCGGAGTTGATGTGTACCACAGATGCGGAACAATTGGGCCACAATTGGGTCGAAGTATAGCTTCTGATTATTGGCTGTCGTATATTTGGTGTAGTCATAGAGAGTGTCCCAAAGTACACCTTCAGAGGAATACTGGATTTTATATGAGAAGCGATCGCCCTTTTTGTCCGACATTTTTAAGTCGATGTGATTTATATTCAATGGAAATCCAAATCTTATGACAATTGGCCACTCATACCTGAGTTACCTACTGAGTAATCTGAGAACTCTTGACCTCCTGACTAGTAGTCGAAACCATAGTGGATAAGAAGGCCTTTAGTGAAGCATAGCTTTGACTAGCGACGTCTCCAATTACAACCCATGGAATAGCGCCCTATTCTTCACCAATTCACGGCATGTATTGTCCATATTGTCTATCAATGACTTGCTTCTCATCACATCCATTAACCTCTTGTCTGACACTAAACCACTGTTTCCGACAATACTTAAGAGGTCTTCGTATCTCATGAGTGGTAAACGCACACAACGGATCAGTTCATCACTCGTATTATCATCCAATTTGTTGACATCAATGAACTTCTTTGCCAACAGAAAGAGATCCACTTCTGAAAAGCGCAATGAATTGCGAACTAATATAGTCTTCAATGTCTCGACGGATAACTCAAAGAAGTCTTCAGAGAGAAGAGAGTCTGTGACACAAATGGTGTCCAAGAAGTTGTGACAAACTGTTTGACAGTCAGACAGATGTGAGGCCATCGATGTCTCCAAGAGTTGCCACACATTGGATGTGTTGACGAATGTCTTGATTTTGGATAAAAACGGCGCTTCAAAGCCATTGAATTGATATCTTTGGATCAGACCTAAGATGTCCACAAAACCACATTAATTATCATCTCATCAGTTGATTCATGCGGTGATAAACCATAAGTACTTACCATACAGTTTGATGACATCCGTTGGATCCAATGACTGAAGATGAATGCGACCACAATATGTCAGCTTAAGAAGCAATCGGAACAGCTGTGGATCAGTCTCTTTGAGCTCAACCTCCGATTGGGTCGACTCTAACATCTGGGTCTCGAAGAGGCGGTCAAAGAAGTCCGACTGTGAGCCCAATACTAACTTATGGCACGGCATGGACTGGTCCTCCACTTTGATGACAATATCACTGAATTTGGTCGACAAATAGAGCTGCGAATAGTTCGTGATTATCATGTCCTTCATGTCCATCACCAGTGAATCCGATGTCTGGTCATCAGTGGTATTGCCAGCGAATCGGCGCTTTTTATGGCTATAAAAGTCAATGTATTTCCCGTTCAACGCAACGCTATTCAAAAGACCCAAACGTTTATCATTTGATAACATAATTACCAAATCATAATAAAAACACAAAAATAATCAACAAATGAGTTATTTTTCTCGTAACCAAACACTCAATGCATTCATTAGTCGCTTATCAGTGCTTTAGACAAACATTTGTGTTATTATTAAACGGTTTATTAGTTGTGTTTCATTGCGTGTATTGAAGTGATCGCGAAGTCTTGTAATCAAATCAAACAAATGATTAGCGAAAGTGTGTCTCAATTGGCAAACAGTTGAGACAATCACGTGATGTCTACTGTTTTTGTTGACAATCACTGCAATCGTTTGCCATTCGCTACTATAGCGACACCTATTGAGTCACTATTACTAGAGTTCAATACGAGTGCTAAAACTTTAGATTTCTATCAAAACTCCTGGGTGTTTTTAAATCACATGATTATTAGATTTTATTTTAATTTTATGTACACTTCAATCACAATTTAAATTAGTTTATATACTAAACGATAAAATGTGTGCTAAATATATAAAAATAAATTAGTATTTAGTTGTTAGCCTTGATTTGAGTACAACTTCTTGAGGTGAAGTGGGAACTAATAGGCGTCAAATCTTGAGTTATCACTGATAATGAGTTATCCATTAGAGGTTCGCATCCTATCTTTGAATTATCATTATTTAGTTATTCAGTCGATTCACTCGTTTCCTGTAATCAATCAAAAAACAATTTAATTTCAAATTACTTCACATTTAAATACAAATTAGTATTCAATACTTCAGTCACTTTCGCAGTCTCTGTGTCCGGCGTATTGACGGCTTTGTTGGCATCGATTGTCTTACGACTCGGAACTGGAGGTTTCGTCACTTCCTTCTCACCACTACTTCCCACAAACTTCTTGCTCTCCTCAAGAGTTTTACCGCTATTTTGTTGACTATTTTTGTCGCTCTCACCGATCGGCTGCCGGAACGGACTATTCGTACGGCTATTGGTATTGGAGTCGATGACAGCCAGAGTCGCACTCCGGATACAATTGGACACAATGTCCACCATTTCATCCGAAGTATAGCTCCGATTATCATCGATCTGAGCGCTAAACCTACGAAACACGTCATTCATCGCCCGTTTAATATGACTCTTAAACTCCTTGGGCTCGCGCTGGCTATCATTGGCCAGTCTTTCGGCCACTTCTGTGCGCAACTCATTCACCGTTTGTCTCAACCGTTGGTTCTCTTCAGACAAACTCTCATTTTTGGCCCGAAATCGATGGCATTCTTCCGTCAAAACAGTTAACTCGCGCTTCAGTCTCGTCTCAGACATCAATAGCCGATCAAACTCTTCAGCCTTTTGTAGACTATTATTATGAGTACCACTGCTGGCGATGGTTTGCGTTGACAACAGATCGCAAACCTTTTCGTTCAGTTTCTGCAGATTCGATGTCTTGTTCTCCAACTCCTTCTTAAGGCTATTGTTTTCGTCAACTATTCGCTGAATACTACTCAACAGAATCGCCGAATCCATGAAACCAATGCTCGACACCGACATCGGGTTCATTGGTGTCGACGCGGATGAAGACTTAATATCATTGACTTTGTCGGACAGGGAATCCATTTTATCTATAATTTTACTCAAATTCATGCGAATCTCTGTATTATTAGTTCGCGTTTCGGTCGTCAGTATCGACAGATTGGTCTCAATATTCTGTGACACAAAATATGGCGGAATTGGCGTCGAGTATGAACTGGAAGTCATTGAGTGATTGACAGGAATTTGTGTGCAATTCTGTGCCATCGAGTCTTTGCCACCGAAATCGGCCATCACTTCATTCGCTTGACTACCGCTCGATGTCAACGAACTGTTCCTCGGCTTTGGAGATGGTTTCGTGTCTTCATCTTCCGGGGCATCAGTTGTATCATCGGTTTCTACGTTCTTAACGGCGACTGACGGCTCGGATCTCATGGGAAGTATAGGCAGTCCTCCCATTCGACTCATTCGCGACAAGATATCACTCTTAGGCTTCGCTGTCTGTGTCTCGTCTTTGACGGAATCACTCAAAGAGTTGGAATGCGATCTCTTCTGGCTATCAGTGGATTCAGTGAAGGAATTCTTGCGCTCTTTTGTCTCAACCACTGGTTTGGCATCAGATCTGCTCTGGATTTTCACGACTTCAAACTCAAACCCATATCTACTGGTCTGAGCTAACGGTGCGCTTTCCAACAGCTCTCTCAACTCATCCCTCAACTTATCAGAGATTATGGCAAACCTTTTGCTACCGATTCGCATACCCTTCAGAATATCCACCCATTTGTCCACTAATTTGATTCTAAACGGCTTTTTCACTTTGCTATCAATACTGACAAACACTTTGCCTAAACCTTGGTTATCGTCAAACAGCCATCCCTTATACCGGAGCTCTATATTGTCATTCAGTTGTGTCACTACAGCACTATTCTCATTGCCAGACATCAGGTCTTGTGTTAGAATCGATGGCTCGTCCGCTGAAGACTTTCGCCACGAATTGTATTTACAAACAGTTAACTGACGCCCGAAATCGCATTTGTCTGCTTCCGTGTCAAACATGAGGGACCAGTTCTGGCGGTTGTCGTCGTAGAAAGTGCTGTAATTGTTTGGTTGGCACTGATGTCACACCACAAAAAACATCAATTAACTTAACATACAATTACCGGTAAAAATAAATTGTCAATTCACTCACAATTAGTTTAAACGTCTCGGAAATGGTGGCGACTGTGATGTGCTTTTGTTTACCAGTGTATAAAACCATTTTATAGCTACCGGTGTCGTGATTGCCCAGTAGGGCGGCCCCCAATTTACCCCGAGCACTGTATTTATCATTTTCACTGATAGAGTAAATGATAAAAAAAAGTTTACAACAATATAAATATTTATAATTAATAAGTCATTCAGTCGTTGAACCCTAGCTTTACAGTTACTGTACAACTAAGACATGTGAGATATTAGATACAGATAACTGTCCCTATATTTAGCACGTTATAGCCAATGGTTCACTAATTGATGGTATAATCAATACAAACAATTTAAAGACATTGACGGCTGAGGCGTGGATCAAAGTCATGACACTATTACCGGGGCTGGCGTTAGCGCTATCACCGCTCGGATTACTGGCAACCTCTTCGGGAGTCAAAGAGTGGTAAACAAGCGATTAATACAAATCGTCACCAAACGGATCAGTCAACACATACCGAACCTCTTGGGCTGCTTCGGTGGCGTGTATATCAGCGACTTATTGGAAGTGTCAGGGTCTAAGTGGATGTCATTGGCCTCGAACAGGTTGGCCAGTTTTGTGCTATGGATGGCAGTCATCGGTGGTTACGGTAGATATCAGTGGACAACACACGTGTCGATGAATAGACACAAGAATAGAGACATGGATTCAGTGATGAAATGGTAAACAAAAACAAATTATTAGTCAAAACAGTGACGTCTTGAGGTGATTATCACTGCAAACCTGGTCTCCGGTCTCGCGTGGAAGTCGTCATCGTCTTCGTCGTGAAGAGTGGCAAACATTGCGGCCAATGATCACTGGATTGTGGTATGGATTGAATGGTTAATCTCAAGACTTGTGTTGACACACGAGTGCAGTGTTTGTATTGACTTTCACTTCAAAACACCCAATGCTTTGACGTCAACATAGCGTCCAATCCTAACGAACCATTCAAACAGTTTGTGACACAAAACGCAAACTTTTCTCAACGAAAAACTTCGCAAAACTTTTCAAAATTCATTTTAATTTCATTTATAAGTAGTTTATAATTATATTAAGTATAGAATCGCTTCATTTTAAAACAAATTTAAATATAAAAAAGTTTATAAAATTACAAAACAAATCAAATAAATAGTTACACAAAACCTGTCACTCATTCAAACACCTCTTCAACAAACTAAAGACTAAGAATCTTAATATTCTTCTCGAGACTAGTAGTCGGTGTACAGAGATCTCTATAGATGCGGTCGATCTCATCCATGGCCAGCTGTGCGTGAAGTTGAAGAATGTCATCGACTGTCATGGGGCCCTTGTGTCTTATGTCCCTTAAGAGCCTATGAATGTCTTTCAACTGTTGAGCCACTGCCTCAATGGTATCCCTTTCCACACCCTTTAACATAAGATGCAGGAAATGGACTGAAGAACGTTTCACTTCCATCGACTCGTCAGTATTGAGCAGCGCCTCCACCGCAGACATCAGTTCCACAATATATGGCTTGAGTGCGAATCTCAGAGCCCCGCAAAACTGTCCCAAATTGGATAAACTGGATATCCGTATCGCCGGTTCCCCTGATTTGAGGCCATTTAGGAAACAACTCATGTATTGCTTGGAGTAGTGGTGACCGAAATCGCCGATAGATTTTGACAAACGCGTCAACACTTCGCCCACTTTCACCCTATCCTCCACTTTCCTATCGCTGTCAGAGAACTCCTGAATCAGCACCGGTAGCACATCATCTGTGCATAGGATGGCGAGTGTGGACAGTGTGTTCACTGCTGACAAATAGATGTATGACTCGCTGTCGTTGAGACACATCTGAGAAATAAATTGAATTAAATTTCTATCGATTTTCACAATCATTACAATCAGTCATACCTTCAACGCGTTGATCAGTTGAGACCTATTGTCGAGTAGGTGTCTGTCTTTGGCGTAAATCAATTGCTTGAGTTTAATGAGCGCGTGAGCCCTCACAGGCATCAGCGGATCATTCATCTCATTCATGGCTAACTCGAAGTCGTTGTTCAGTTTGCCATCACTTCCAGAAAGGGTCCCATTATTTGCATACAATTCAATACGATTTCTCACATCAATGGCTGTCTTTCGCATTTTCTCATCAAAATGCTGACTCTTTGACAGCACATCCAGCGTTGGAATCAATTGTTTCAATTGAATCACGTCTTGGTTCTTGAGTTTATCTCTTTCTTTCAGTAATATCTCCACGATTTGCAAACACATTATCAGTGAGTTTCGTTTCATTTCGGCGAACTCCACATCTAAATGACAATCAATATCTACACCGGTATTATCAGCAACTGATCCATCTATGGACTGTTCTGCCGCCAACCTCTCAAACAAATTGATCACAAACTTAATGGACTTTTCGGGGAAATTGCTTAAAATCGGTGCAACACTCTCGTGAATGGAGTCAATGAGAGCACAGGTAAGCAGTGATGCAGTGATTGACGGACTGAATGTCATCCTTTCAATCAATAGTAAAAACAAATCTATTTTAAATGTTTGATTCAATTTTGTCAGCAATTGTAGCACAAATTGAACGATTGAATCGATTTGTTTAATATTTAATTCCTGGCAATCATTTGTTAACTTCCAATCACATGATACTCTGAACTCAATGCCAATCACACCATCGCTGACACACACTTTAAATCTGTTAATCAGATGATAATTATTATACAAAATATTATCCAAAAGATAGACACTTTGTTTAATAGAGTTTAACATTTCAGTCAATAGATTATGAAGTAATGTCTTGTAATGAGACACCGATTCCTCGAGAACTACTCTACAGTAAAACAGATGCGAAATGATTTGTATAAACTTTTTCACATCATATCTACAGATAATTAGATTATTAATGACTTCAATGCCTTTATTCAAAGATAGGGAACTGTTTGCTTCAGACGTTAGAAACAAATCCAGTATTTTATTTATAATCAACTCTTGAGTTAACTTCTGATTCCTATTCTCTAAACTCATGAGAATTATGGCACCAATGGTGTGGTGATATTGGTTGGCACTGACCATCAGTTCCAATACTTGTCCGCCAATTATCTCATAATATTGTCTTAAGGAACAGCACAAGACAGGCATCGCAGAGACAATAGTTCCGATCGCTTGATATCTTTGGTTAAGAGTTGTCTGTCGTTCAGACGTTTGGTCGCAATCGATGACAGCATTAATAAGTGAAATGAGTCCCAAATCTCTGATTAAACACTTCGACAGACTTCTGGAGATCTCATTATTAGACCATTTGATTGCTTGACATCGAGATAACAGCAATAGATTTCGGATTACAATCGTCTGATCGAAACCCGTTAACAATGCGGACAACTCTTCGTCAATCGCTGCCATATTTTCATCTGATCCGCTGTCGTGTCTGACAGACATCAGCGACGCTATGAGTGACGCGAAACAGTCCTCCAGAAGAATGCGACCGATAATTGATTTCGTATTCAATAATTTGATCAAAATTGTGGTCAAAGAGTAGATAAACCGATAAGTAATCATCTGATGGTCTGTTAGTGTCCACGAGTTGTCGCCGACTGATAGGAACAGATGTTGGATCCGTTGGAAGTGTTGACTAATGTATGGTATTATCGTTAATGAGATTAATTTAATTACAGTTAACTTAATGGTCAGAAAGTTTTGATTAGAGATCAGCTCTTCGTCCGACAACTGGTTCAACAAAATGATGGCACGAGTCATGGTATCAATGATACGCCATCGGTGTCTTGAGCTGTCATCCAGTGTCTGATTGTCGATCAGTTCATTCATCTGCGGTTCAATCGTTTCGTAAATCTGTCGACAATTCATGTCATCTTCACATAAACGGCAAACTTTGGCCACAATCTCGTCAAATATCTTCGGATCAGTTGCCTCTTTAGTGCTCAAGAGTTTGGCGATTGTCTTGAGATCACCACAAATCTCTTGGATATTATCCATGGCTTAAAACAATCACAAAATCAATGAAAACTTTAATTCAAAACACAATCAAAACAATTGACGGCAAAAGCACATGAGTTTACGCAACCAGACCTGTGAACTGCCATTCAGTCCACAATAATATATGTGTAATTAACAGCAAAACAATTATGGCCGCCATTGGTCTGCATTTCCATTATATTCAATAGTAAAACCCCTCATTATTATAGCCCCCTTACTGTCCCCCCACTCACACAAACCTTTACAACACTTATGAATGAAAGCATATGTTACTTCACTATTAGTTACAGCGCGTGCGCACAACACTAACCCAAACAGTGTGTGATTGCCATTGCATTCAATACACACTTCCTTTTCCTGTCATTCACTTCAACCAAACACTTGTCCACCAAAATGGGTAACATTTTAACCACGGATTTACTAACTGATCCCAACTATCACCGCACGATCACCACTAACCACACTCTCGTTTGACTCGCAGGTAAACCTAAGGGACTGCGAACCGCCCGCAAACACCGCGACCATCGCCGGGAGCAGCGTTGGCACGACAAGGACTTCAAAAAAGCTCATTTGGGTATGTGTTTCACCGGTGATACCGGTGCCACCGATGACCACCTGTCGCACCACTTGATCCCTAATGTCTGGTTCCTGTCCCTCAGGCACCCGATGGAAATCTAACGCATTCGGCGGCGCCTCTCACGCCAAAGGGATAGTGTTGGAGAAGGTGGGGGTTGAGGCCAAACAGCCCAACAGTGCCATCCGGAAGTGCGTGAGAGTACAGCTGATCAAGAATGGCAAGAAGATCACCGCATTTGTTCCGCGCGACGGTTGCCTCAACTTCATCGAGGAGAACGACGAGGTATTGGTGGCCGGCTTCGGGCGTAAGGGTCACGCCGTGGGCGACATTCCCGGCGTCCGATTCAAAGTCGTGAAAGTGGCGAATGTGTCGCTTCTGGCCCTCTATAAGGAGAAGAAGGAGAGGCCCAGGAGTTAAGGGCACCGGTAGATGGTTGTGGAGGCGCCCACTCAATATGTTCATTGAATTATTATTAAAAGACTTTTCGATCGGTTTATAAATTAAATGATGTTTTTTTGAGGATTTTTGTCTGTTTTTTGATTAGTGTCTAGTTTTTTGGTAACTTTTCTGTACTTTTAATTGAATTTTATGGTTGGGATCTACTTGTGGTTATAGTGTCTCAGGTGGTGATCACAAATTGGGTGTAGAATATTCTGAATGCCGTGTGTTATAAGTGCTGTACCGGTAATAGGTTTTGGGTTACTTTTTGGTCAACTTTTTGGTTAACAATTTGTGGTTTTATTATGATTTGTGTGATTATTGTTAACAAAGGTAAGTGTTTAGGTCTTTTGAATAGTGATTTGACTTCTATACCAATCAAAAGCCTCGATTCACTGACAGTACCTCCGATGACCGGTTGTCTGTTTCGGTGGTGATGGACATGAATATCACTAATGATTTTGAAATCATCAAAATAAATGAACTAGATCATAGATTTAAAAATATATTTTTAGATAGGAGTTCCCGATTCCACTTAAGGAACTTAAAATCATTTGAATTTAAAAATTCTTGATTTATTTTTGTATATATTTATCAATCATTTTATGGTTTAGTTTATAAATTGTTTTAAATTATGATCAAAGTGTATATAAAATTTAAATAATACACAATACTAGTGATTAAGATAACAAATGGCAGCAATAGATCCCAAGACATCACTTGAGATCCGGTGTGGAAGAACCCAAATAGCACTTCAAGTCATTGATATTAGACTTAATAAGTTTGCAGCGAATGGTTGGCCTCTGAAGACGTTTGTGGGCCTCATATCGATGGCAACCGCCGAAAGAGTAGTAATAATTACCGCCTTCTCGGCCGACAATCCACAGGACATTGATTGGCGGCACTTCTTGTGGTGATGTCTGTGTCGAACGGAAGCAGATATTAGTAATCAGTGAATCAATGGTTAGAAATGTATCACTATTTATACTTCGATGGTATTCATAAGACTATCGACTTTCGGGTGATCCAGTTCTGATGGAAATGGTCTAATGAGGACATCCATTGGTATGTCGTGAATGTCGGCCACTTGTGAAGAATGAATACTTTGATTATCACTCATCTGTTGATCACTTTATGTTGAAATACTATGTAATGAGAAAAAACACATTAAAACTAAAACTCAATTCAAATCACAATTAAATAGTTGTCCGAAAAGGACAGACAGTTCTGCTAAACATGTGATGCAATGCCTGTGCAATGAAGTAGGCTTTCCCTGTGTAGGGGAATGGGAGGACAGGGATGTATGCCTTACGTAACAGTTATAACAGAATTTCTACAGAATAACCATGCTACATACAATTATTTTTAATAGCTATTAAGCACTCGTTTTACACGATTATCTCAAACAGGATTTAATGAATATTAATATCCGGATCGTTTTGTGACAAAACTTTTTTTGCCATACATTGCCAACAAGAAGTGAACACTATTTCCATCTATTTGTGGATCAATTGAATGAACAGTTTGTTTACAAAACAAAATTCAAAACTTTTTTCTCAGTTTCGCGTGAATTGAATGAAGACATGATTTGTTGCTTAAGAAGAGGTCTTCAGTCATCTAAACGACACCTGATTTCCATCGATAGGTGCCTGAAGTCGGCCACCAATCGGACACCAAATGTCTCAAGAAGTTTGTCCACAATTGACACCAATAGTAGTGACACAACTTATGAGATAATAGAGCCGTACAAGTGGTTAAATCGCAAGAGGATAATACACGAAGACATCTTAAAACCGGATTACGCGGACACAGGAGTCGTGTCCCAGCGATACGATCGGATCAAAACCAGGGATCAGTTGGTGGCGATCGCCAAGTCGTGTAAAATCGCCAAAACTATACTCACGGAAGTCGGCAATAGATTGGCTGTAATGAGACAATCACTTGAGCTGATCCGCTGTAGACTAACCACTGTTTTATGTCTTATTAGGTCGGTGTCACCGGCGAAGACATCGATGACATGGTGTTTGAGTTGTGTAACAAACATCAATCGCTTCCCCCACAGGACTACTGAACTAATGATCTCTATGTGTCTGATCCCATAGTCTGTGTCAGACCTACCGGTGCTATCCATCACCGTTGAACTACAGAGGGTTTCCCAAATGTGTGACCACTTCTGTCAATAACGTCGCCGTTCACGGCATACCCGATACCAGAGCTCTAGTCGCCGGTGATATCATTACAGTGGATGTCAGCATCTACTTCGAGGGTATGTCTTGTGTTATCATCAGTTGGTCTCTGATATCACTGAATGTCTTGATGTGTGGGAACAGGTTTTCACGGCGACTGCGCCCATACTTATATCATCGGCGAGTGCAGCGATGAGAGGACTCAACACCTGCTAAATGTGTCCCAACTCTGTCTCCTGGAAGCGATCCACGTCTGCAGAGATGGCCAGAAGTTGTCGGAAATCGGGGCCACCATCGAGAGGACAGCCAAAGAGTACGGCTTTAATGTGATCCGCGAGTTCTGCGGCCACGGAATCGGCAGTAATCTTCACGAACCGCCGCAAGTACTGCATTACAGACACGATTCCGATGAGACAATCAAAGAGAATATGTGTATAACGATAGAGCCGGTGATTACGGAGGGATCAGCCGATGTTGTCATCGATGGTAGCGATGGTTGGACCGTCTCTACAGAGGATAACAGTCGTACGGCTCAGTTCGAGCACACCCTCTGTATCACCAAAGATGGTGCGATTATTTTGACTGAAATTGATTGACAAACTAATTGTCACAACTTTTGTTAAGATGTGATTATTTGGACAATTTGTTGATTAGCTATAAATTGTTTGCTTTATTATGATGACTGAATGATAAACTCAATTATAATAAACTGAATGAATGATAAAGTTTTTGATAATTAATTAAACGCTAAATTGTAATGAATTGTCGTTACGAAGTCATTTGAAAAGCGACTCATAAATGAATGGTAAGAATTGAATGAGTGATTAATAATGGTTTATTGGATTTAAAAAGTACTCTTAAGAATACAAAAGTATCGTAAAAACAAATTAATTTCTTTAAACATGACGTGTGGGCACCAAATGTCTTAAGAGTGCAAATAAGTGAAAGACTTTGTTTGCGACACTTTAGCGGACTTCTTAGCCTTCGGCACATTACTCGTCAAAACGGATGACCAGACTCTGAATGAGCGAGTGATCCAAAGACTTACTGTTTTCACGCCATTGCTCCTCAAGAGTCGGACACCAATTCTGACGAATGAAATCAATGCACTTTGTCTTCATCTCCTGATTGCTATATCTGTCCATCACTTGCAACACGTGGAAGACATTCGCGGTATTGATTCCAAAGGACAAAAAGTTATCGCAAATATTCTTGAGATCCTCGACGAAGTACTTTACGGCGGCGTATAGAAGATCTTCAGCCATCGCTTCCAACTTATCTAAAGTCCCGAAATACAGATACTTCAGGAATTGGTCGAACACTTCGGGTTGAATGTCATCGATGGTCACATCGCTGGCGGTCTTCTCTGTCATATCGCTCACAAACATCTGTCGGAAGACATCCGAGCGGTCGCTGAGTATATCCTTCGACGCGAAGAACTCCTGTCCGCCGACAATAAGCTTACAATCGTTTAGGTCTTTGTTATTAAAGCTGTTGCGGAAACAGATCCACTTCTTGTGTTCAATTCTAGGCTTAGAGACAGTGATGTCGAAGCATATGGTGAGCGCTTTGTCCGGCAGATATCGGTCACACACTTCGGCGAGTGTCGAGTACTTCGTGAACCCATTGATAGTCTTCAACCAATGGCTGCCGATTGCATACCTGTTGTCCATCGTCTTCTCGCCCAGCCTCTGGTCATTGGAGCCCACGATATGTGCGCTGAAGAGGACGTCAATATCTGTGCCGAACTCCAATCCAATCGGACGCCGACATCGATGTCATCGGCTTTGCGATCGTAACTACGGACATAAACTCGCCACACATCGGATCCAATGGTGATCTTATCGCTCCAGAGGCTGCATGGCTTTCGAGGAAGTCGTTGACTCTGAACACCACTTTCGACCGAAAGATGAGCTCCGATGAAGACATTATTACTGGATCTGATGAACAGACACTCCGTGTGGACACACTTGATATCTGTACTCTCATCGGAAAGTTTGTGGAAATACTGTACTAAAGTTTAGTGACTACAGTGTTATATTTCATCAAAAAAAACTAGGTATTCATAAGTCAGTCATGAATGTATTTTAGTTAATTATAATTCACTAAAAATTATGTATTTGACAGATAAATGTACAGTAAAATGCTTGGTAACGTGTTTTAAATTGAAAAACACAGAACTGCTATGAGTTCAACACTAAACTCAGAATTTAACACTAAATCCCAGTTTTTTATCACAGAATCACAGTTCACTCGAAAATGTCTTGATTTTGAAGTTTAAGAACTTGTATTTTATTAGCCATTCAGTCATTACTGGCGCTAAACCTGTATATTATTCGCAAATCGCAAACATTTTCCATAAAATAAGTTCTTATAAGACGTGAACACAAAAGAGAAATACAAGTCATTTGTATTCATCTATTCCGTGAATTCACATCTCGTTCACAATGGATGATACAAACCCAACTACCAGTCCTCCGTGAAACCATATGACGGGTGAAATTGATATAAAAATTAGTTTATTAGATGAATAATATTGATGTAAAAGTTTAAATAATGTTAAAATCCAAAACTTATCTAGATTACTAACTTTTCGCATTCATCTCAGCGTTTATAAGAATATTCTGCATAAAATGACATATGATATGATACAGTATTAACATTTTTTGCGAGTACAGTGCACATTTTATCTAATTTATATTTTCAACTACCAAAATATTTGTACAGTATCTTTTGAATTTAATTTACATTTTAAAATTTATTAATAATCTTAGAGCTCATTTACTTTATAAAGTTTTATTCATTTTGCTTTATTGTATCTCTACTTTCTTTTTCTTTATTTGTAATATTATTTTCAAAGTGCATTTGATATGGAAGTTAAGTTTATCAAGTTAATCATAAAATTAGAAAATCAGTACTAATTGTACTGCATCATTCAATTGTACATAATTAGTAGCACTGATAGTACTGGTAATCATATATAGTTATACAGCACTCAATACACTACAAAACCAATGGCCAGTCACGCTAATAGGGAATTCTAACACAGAATATAAAACAGTGATTGTCATTGAATAGTGTGTTAAGTGTATAGCAGTGCTATACACAGAATTGAATGCATGCATTGTATGTGCTTATGTGTGTGTGGTGTATGGGAACTGTATGTTACCCATAGAATACAGTATAATATGGCATAACATGTATGGGCACCGACACTCTATTGTGAGCGAACCGATCGATAAATGGTAGGCTTCGCTGAATCGGTGGCCGAGTTTGTTCAGATTGAAGGGAAAGGGATGAGTCGGCGGACAGGCACAGCACTTATATAAAAAAATATATTAAACACAAAACTCTAATATAATATATAAAAATCTATGAGAAATAGTGAGTGATTTTTCTCTTATAGAGAAAATAATTATTATCTGAGTTTCAGCACTAAATATACGGAGAAATATATATATAATATATAAAACATATATATGAATAGTATATATGAGACTCACTCTCTCGTATATACATACATATAAATCGCTAACAAATGAATGGATAATAATAATAATAATGAATGAGAATTGTGTGTGGCGAAAAATAAATTTTAAAACCATTTATTGATTATTAGATTTTCTATTATTATGAATATTATGATTGTTGTTATTATTTGAGTTCCGCTTTGATATAACCAAATGTGTAGTAATTATCATGAATTATAAGCGCATAAAAAGCTTTAATAAGAAAATTCCTTAAATATACACGAAATTGGTATTTATGCTTAACATCTAATTATCAATTCCGCAGAATATTCTGTATATCTCTCGCACAGACCAGTGTTGTGATCAACGAATATATATAAAACAACTTATAGTATATAAATATATAAATATAATATATCTGCGAGTATTGTAATAATGAGAAACACCTCTCCGTTCCTAATATTCTTCAAGAATTATATCACATATTATATCGATTTTAATACTTAAAAATGTATGTATAATATATACTAAAGCGTTTGGAAAAGCTAGATATAATGAGAGAAAAAATGTTTTAATGAATTATTATTATTCTATGGCTTATTCGTGAGACGATATATAATATTATATACGATATATTAAACACACAGCGAAAGCCAGTGATTTGTGTGCTGGATATCATCGGTGTTGTCGATATGCCCGCTAATACTGTGCTGACCCACAAACCATACATTTAGCAAATAATATATAATTGCCATAAAATATTTGTATATTTGTGGTCACCTTGATAGATATATTCAACTAAATAACATAGATATGGAATCAATGAACCAGATCAAACACAATGCAATTACCGGTGAGTCTATTGGCTATTAATTATATGCTTTTCAAAAAAATATAGTCTTTTGTATGTTTTAATATATTCATGAATTTTGTTGGAAAAATATTTCGCAATATTCACAGAATTTTTTACATAAATATATTAAACGATTGTATTGAATATTCTGTGTTCAAAATACACGTTCAATGTCTGCCAATGTATTTTGTGTGGGTTTTTGGGTCGAGAATTGTATTTAATTTTTAATATAATATTTCTTTTTCGACACTCAAATGTTTGTAATAAACTTAGCATTTAGTTTAGTTTATATAATATGAGTGCAAATAATTGCAAAATATTTTCTCTTTTTTCATATTGAAAATGAAATTTTGATTCAATATTTACTGAATAAGAGAAGGGGAAAGGGAGCGCACAAATAGGGCCACAATTATTGTTATTAAAGAATCCGGATTATTAATAATTCAGTTTTCAAATTGAATTATGTTTTTGTGTTTTAGGAGTTTATTATTTAATTTCACATCAATTTTGTAAAGCAGAATTTCTGTTATATTTTTTGCTTACCAATGATTAGCAGTTAATTATGTCTCACATGAATTTAATCTAATTTATACTATAAATTGAAATCAAATATTTATTATCATGCTCTCTCTCTCTCTCTCTCTCTCACTCACTCACTCACTCTCAGGTTATAAAGCAGTTAGTAATTTAATTTGAAAGTCTGAGAGACTAATATCCGAGATTAATAAAAAATATAAAAATGTTAAATTCTTTAATTAAAATATCATTTTATTAATCAGTATTTCATATGTATTCGTATTGTGTTCGCATAACTCCGACACCAAAATAAAAACAAAGCCAATAATTAACTAGGCAAAAAAATTTAATTAATAATCTAATGATTCAAATCGGGAAAGCGATTATCATTAGAGACTCCAGTGTTTGGGTTTTCACTGTTCACGTCATGATTACTACGAGAAAAATAACAAACAAAATATTGCCTTAAAATCAATATTTTTAGTATATACTCAAGTAAAACACATAAAGCATTAATAAATATCTGATTCACAAGAATCTCATGTATATATGAATATTTACTTTTGTATATAAAAATGTTTTTAAAATATTCTCTCCCATCGACTTAATGTATAATCTCTTAGTTCACGGTCTGATAGCTATTTGAATGGGAAAAAAGTAGTAATAATAATCATATACTTATGTCTTAAACAATAATTACATGAAATTATAATTGAATTCTTGTGAAACAAAACCTCTATTAAACTCACATGTTATTATATTTATGATTCTTGTTATATAACAGATATTATTTTGTTTTTATATGGCATTAAAGTCTACAGTAATACTCCAGAATCTTAAGTCTATAATAAGAATTTTAATTTAAAAATGTTTGTGGAATTTAATTAAAAATATATATTTTCCGAAAATAAAAAGCTATTTTTAATCGAGAAAAATATTATATTTTGACTGAAATCTTATACAGTGTATAATATACACCCAATAGTCACTTGTGTACACACGATGTCTGCAAATATTATAAAACCAAATGTGAATTTATTTTCGCAAATCACACAATTGACTAATTTTTATATACCGTGTATTTTGGATATAAATAAAAACATTAAATATTGTATTTGAGTCGAAATGGAGATTAATTTCAACAGCCATTTTTCACAATATTCATTGAAATTATTTTAATTAATTTAATTTACGACTGGTATATATATCTGTGTAATCATAAAGCATGGATTCAATTGAATGAGTTAAACAACAAAATCAATGACTAAAAAATACTCATTATATAACAATTTGTGCGCTTATTTTAGACATTAGGCATAACTGTGCTATTATGACCTAGCTATTAAAATATTGAGTCCGATAAACCATAGTGTAAACCCAGTTACTGTATATATAAATATCAGTCAAATATATGAATATAGATACTGTATAAATAAAATAATAATTTATGACATCTTTATGACATTTAGTTCATAAACGCGAAGCAAATACTTGTATTAATAAATCAATATTAAACTCAATGTTTTATATATAAATCAATGGCCGGGAATAGGGAGAGCGCACCTTTAGCTTAATTACTGTATAGTTTGCTGTAAGGAATTGCAAAGTCTTTTGGCTTATTGATTGATTTTTAAGCAAAATTTTTATATTTTAAATAAAGTCATGTATAATATACTTGTCATTAAAGCATAGAGATTTTTATTTCATTTATTTTGGAGATTATTTTTCCTAGAATAAAAAGTAAAACAAGAATATTATTGAATTATTAGTCTCTGATATATATAGATAATGATAGAGAATATTCTGTGTGTATATTCTGTGATTGGCGTCCAAACAATAAATAACTTGAAGTGAATAAACATTTGATAAGAGGTATTGAAATGTTATAAACGATAGAAAAGTTTGATTAAAAATACTCGACACACAAAACCAACACAAATATTTAAACGCATTGTGCGGTTCAGTAGACATTGGCGTACAGTCTGTCCCGATATACGAGTGTCTCATAAATAAAATAAACAATATATCTGGGGACAGGTATCTTATAGTTTTTATATTTTCCAGCAATAAATATCGCAGACATTAATAATCATAGACATTGATATAACTGTAAGGGATTTCATTTTTATGTGAAGCGCCGGTATGTCTTATTATAAGAATAAGTATCGATACAATATTATACTTATTATAAATATAGTACAATGGCTGTGTGTTGTACTGTATATTAACTTTGTTATATAAAAAACAAAATAATAAACTCAATTTCATAGCAAATATTATTATTAGGCTAACAGTTATTTAATGAATGAATAAAAAATAAGTAATTTTCATAGATATGTTTAAACACACAAAAACAAAAGGCACTTACTATTTATAAATATAGCATAAAAATGACAAACAATGAACCGATTCGTGAGAAATTCTGTAATGAATTGACAATCAATTCTGTCATATATTCTGTATTCATATGAATTTCTTGTGATTATCACCGAAAACACAGAGCCGTCGAAGAATACCAGAGAATTGGACTCATTATTAGCGAAGTTAGAGAACGACAACAAACTGTTGGCCGAATTGGACGGCAAACTCAAGAAAGTCAACAATAACTACAACGCTATCCAAGGCTTGGATGATATCAGCGCAGGTGGTATCGGCGGCGGTGGCGGGAGTGGTGGTGGCGCTCAGGACCACAGTGTTTATCAGTTGTCGACATCGATGCCTTCATTAACCACAAGCTATTTATTTCAAACCTCTTCCCTGACGGACACCGGGGCCGGCAGTGCCGCCAAACACAGCAGTGGCGCCGGTATGTACGCCAAGCCATCGAATATGTCTTCAGCACAAAACGGCAAATCAACGCAACAAATGGTGAACCACGTGCTCCATGACGAGGACATGGACTACGAGGACATGGATCTACGGGAACTGGATTTAGAGAGATTGAAACATAGCTTATTAGACGACAACGACTTACTAATTGTCAACACTAGGAGTAGTCTTAATAGAAATAAATATACAAAATCGCATTCAAAATCTGATGGCATGCCTTATCATCATAATTATGATCCACTTATCAAACATACCGGAGCTTTGATTGACAAAAGTAAGCGATTCACTCAATCGATTACCTTGTATATATTTGTACTGTATATACTCTGTATGTCTCTATCACTCTATGTCTGTCTGTCTGTCTGTCTCTATCGGTACACATGTATTGAGTACTTGTAATACAAATATTAATATTAATGGAAAGGTATTAACGGATAGAAAATCTAATTGGAAACTAATTTTGCTTAAGATCTACAGAATATTCTTTATGTATAAGTTTATACTCGAGTAAAGACTCTTACAGTTTGTGTCAACTTTATGCTGTAGTTAATTCCCATTGAGTTTAACATTTACTACACGTTTATATAGCATCCAAATAAATTGCATAATTGATGACTATAGTTGTTATTAAAAACTTTACCCCAAATATGAATTCCCACGCAATAATCAATACTAACTGTCCCCTCGATCTAACAGCGCCTTCAATAACCGCCAAAGACTTAGATAAACTGATGGCAAAGTTAGATCAGGACAACAGAATTCTGGCCGAATTGGACCGCAAACTCAAACACGTGACCACCAGCGGCCTCATCGACTCGTCCTACATATACCCCATGTCTTCATCACTGCCTTCGCTGAACACAGCCTCCCATCTCATGCGCTCATCCCTGGGCCTCACCGACAGGAACCCGTCGGCCACCGCACTGTTGGGCCACTCGGCGAGCGGCGGACTCATAGGCGGCTCATCCCTGAAGGCATCGCAGGCGGCGCAGCCATCGGCCGCCCTGAACCTGATGTCGATGACGGGACTGAACGGCCAGTTATCCGCTCACCAGCAGCACCAGCAGCAGATGATCCAGCAGTTCCTGCACTCGTCGCAGACGCCATTTCAGCAGCAAATGGATGAACTGAAGTTAGCCGAAGACATCGTCGACAGCATTGAGATACCAAACAGGGGTCGGTGTAAGGTATACATCGCCCGCTACTCCTACGACCCCTTTAAACAGTCGCCAAACGACAACCCGGAGGCCGAGCTGACGCTAATGGCCGGCGATTTTGTGCTGATCTTCGGCGGTGTGGACGAGGATGGCTTCTTCTACGGGGAGCTCATGGATGGCAAACGCGGACTCATTCCGTCCAACTTTGTCGAGAAGCTCACCGGCGAAGACCTGTTCGAGTTTCAGGCGAGTGTCCTCTATGGCAATAATAGGGACTCGGAGTCCGATACGGCCAGTTACCCACCGGAGTTTTATGACGCCATACTCAACGAGCAGATATGCCACTCCAACTTCCAGCACCTATTGGCTCCGGGTATGTATTTTTGAGATCATTATTATATTCTGTTTATGTATTATTTGATTCAATATTCTGTGACATAGTTAAGGGAAAAATGATTTTTATTTCTTAATCTCTGGTTATCAGAGTTTGTATTTTATTTTTGTCTTCTAATTAGCTAGCTAATTTGTTCTATATTTTTTGTATGAACAAGTAACTTATCAGAGATCATTAAAAGTGTATGCAAATTATTGTTTGCATTATATTCTTAAGGTGGGAATATTCTGTACACAAAATGTTGTTTTCTTTTCCCACTTAAAATTATTTGAATTGCAGTGCATTTTTGCGGTTAAATTTTTGTTGAACCACTTTCTATAATTAGATACGATTTTATATGATTATTATATTAAATATTTATACATTGATTACCCCCACTCGACCATGGCGCTCCCCGTGTATGTGATACCCCTCATTAATTCTGAATAGTATAATACGCTCGACAATTATACCTGTATTTATAAGTTACTATTATTACGCTATTATTATTATAAGATTTAAATAAATAACTGAAAAAACATAATCAAAATTAATGGACTTTTTATGTGAGCGTATTTTGTTATTAATTTTTTTGCTCTATGTTTACAAAAGATAAACATTTATATGTTTTGATGTTTAAAAAGTGGTATTATTTGAACAGTTGTTATAATGGATTAGTTGGGCATTCATAACAATACTAATACTTATGATATATGGCATGAGATGAGACATATATTTTAGAGACAAATAGCCTCAGCGATCGACTGCGACCTCAAGCATAGGCCATGGATATTGTAAAACATTATTATTAATGATATTCACAATCAATTTGTTTACTAATAAAAACAGTAATAAATTGGTTTATGTTAAGCGCTATACGATTCTCTCTCTCTCTCTCTCTCTCTCGAAATTGAAATCCATTATTCTTTATGACGCGAGAGAGAGAGAGAGAGAGAGCCATATAATATGAATACAATATACAGAATATAAGTATAAAAATGATTCACAAAACCGAGTCTGAAATGAAAGATCATTAAACGACAACTCATTTTAATTGAATGCAGAGACTTTACTGTCATTATTTTTATTACCATCATAATTATTATTCAACTAAAAATAATACAAAAAATATATTCACATTTGACTTTTGCAAAACAGTATTTATACAATTATCGCAAACATTAAAATGATTTTCAATGCAACCTATTTAGTATGTCAAATGATATTCATATAAAAAAGATGTTTTCTGTAAAATATATCACATTTTGATTGAAGAGGTTAGTGGAGGCCTTCGAGCGGTTGTTTAATTAATATTAATTATATATTATGTTTGAATGGATATTTTTATTATATATTAAAACAATAGACTCATTATGTATTCAATAATAAATTTATTTTATGCCTTTAGAACCTCATTCACCCGATCAAATATTTATATGATTTATTTATATAATACTTACGGTTTAATTAACAAAATTGTTTTCTATTGTCACTTAAAAATATAAGAATATTCTGTTATAAACTAATTCTTATGTCCAAAATCCATATGAAATGGCTGTATGGCTGTGCAAATACACATTCTCTATTATGAACACAGAATATTCTGCATGTAAGAATATTCTGTATATTGTGGGCTATAGTAATAAATTAGATTCATTTTTCAAGCACTTGTGTCCCTCCTGTCTCTGTCTGTAGTCTCTCTCTCTCTCTCTCTCTCTCTCTCTCTCTTTCTCGTCCAATGTTTTCAATAGTGTAGGCGTTTGTATGAATAAGTGTAGGACTGAGTGGAAGATAGTGTAGATAAAAAAATAATATGTTTTATATCCCTTTTAAATGTTGATAAATATATTTATGTCGTTATGAGACACAAATCCCACGGAAAATAAGTGTTTGTAACGAGAATTTAAAAGCGAGTTCTTAATCAAAATAAAAGGCAAAGTTTAAACATTTTATTTACCCTAGCATACCTTGCTCTTTTTTGTTTTAGTCATTATTTGTTTAGATTTTCGTTTTATTTTACTTTTTATTACCAACAAAAGGTTAATCTTATTAACCGTTGCACTCATTAATAGTGAATGAATTAATTCGTTCACAGAATTAATTACACGATTCTGTCACAGAATTAGTAGAAAACATATAGAGATCGAAATGTTTGTAAATTAAAAAATAATATTTATTTAACATTTTATTTAATAAATCTGTTATTTTTCAGATGACTTCCATCGCATCAACGATTACATCGATTTAGAAGATATCACTGAAATAGATGAAGACATCTCCGACTTGGAAAGGGCTGAAGTAGAGGCCGCTAAGAACACCGGTATGTCATTGGGATAGGCATTCAAATTAGATTAGAAAATATGCATTTTTAGTATTAATTATATGCTTATTCTTGAGGTTATTGCTTAAATATACAGAATATTTCATAACACATAATATACATGTACAGTATGTCTAAATACTACTTAGTATTAGGATAAAGTTTTATTGGTATTATATTACAAGTATACAAAATTATAATATTGGTTTTATATTACAATCTGTTTGGCAATTTATAATTATTACTATTAGTGACAATTTCTGAATATTTTTCCTCTTTCCAAATTCTGTGCTCACATTTGACTAGAAATGACACAAAATATCAATTCATTGAATCTGATGACACAATCCATTCAATTGTCACAATATTGAAGCCTTCTATGGATTCAATTTACAGTATATTTATAACAGTCATGTTGTGTACAAAACACACGAGTCTTTGAACTATTTTATCATTCATTTATTCGTTGATTTGAAGTCTTAAAAGTTGCATAAATAGTATATAATATGAATAAAAATTTTCCATAAAAGCCACGATTACGTCAAAACCTTAGACCGAAAAAATATAAGTTATTGTTTAGTAGTTTTTATTGAGTGACTCTTTTCATGTGAATGAGTGAATGGGAATTCAACGCAAGAATCGCAGAATATTCTGTATATAGTATGTGTGAATAGTAGCGTTTGCATAATATATAGTGGGCACAGTATTACAGAATATTATATAAAGAATATTCTCTGAGTCAACATTTTATAAAATGCAGAAAAATTCATATTATTTTCACTTATTTAGTTTACAGACACACAATGAAAAGCCTTTAATTCATACAAAACACCATATTATTATGCATTCAGTACGATATGAATGATAACACTATTATTTATCACATAAACACATAAACACTATTTTTATCACTCGCTTTCTAACAGAATATTCTATTCAATGCAGAATATTATTTATCGAGGTTGTTTTTGTTTTATTTAAGACCATTATTTAAATTTAAATACTGTTGAATAGATTTACGTCAGACGTGGTGGTGCTGAGAAAACCTGTAGATTCTCAATAGGTTCTCGGTGTAATTGAGTTTGAATTTGTGCCTACTTACTGTATGCCAAATATATAATATACATGGAAACATATTCTGGCATTTTCATTGACAAATCAAGTCTAGCGTAGAAATTATGGAAATATATTTTAATATCATACACACTGTGTATAAATTTATTTGTACAGTAATTCTCAAAAGTACTTATTTTCCGAAAACATATCCGTTTTTGTCATAATTGTTGAAAGTATTATGTAAATTGAAAAATAGCATTTAATATATTCTATATTTTACTAAATTTATTTGAATGAATACGAACTTTATACAAAATAAATTCATCATTATAATTTAATATAATATTTATAAATAGAATAATTTTGTTTACGATTCCGGTGAATTTTTAAAAATAGGTTTGTTAATAAAGTTACAATATTATTAATAATAAATTAGCATTCATTCATAAAATAATAATCAGTAGAATTCTAGTACAAAACTTAATTTTTTAATTATCATTAGATTACTTTGTTATAAACAAATTAACATTTAAGAAATATTACATAATAATTCATATTTAAAAATATATTATATTATATGTGCTTAACTCAGCAAGAGTAAAAATGTGTATTCATAATTGTTTGTTCTAATATAAATTAGTACATTAATCATTTAACATAGATTAGATAGTTTTTATTGATAATTCATACGATAATTATTATAATCAATTAATTTCAAATATAGAGTATCTAGCTAAAAAACCCATTAAACTGTATGTTTGTGCAATCAATCAGTGGCACCACCACAACGATTACTACTGGAACGACAGCTCCATAAGAGTGTACT